TATCTATCCAACCATGTATAATAAAACGAAAAATATATTTTGCTCGAATTTTGAAGTAGCGGTACCTTACAGTTAATCTATCTATTATATACAATGTAGTAATGTATTAGTTATGCACAAGATACAAAAAAACGGTATGATATACTCAAGATATATGCAACATGCTGCGACATCCCTAGCTAACGTACATGTATACAAGTGCTTCTTCACGCATCCTCCAAGTACATGACAGACAGAATTTATTTTCTATAAGTGCTCAAATATAAACTGTTTCCCAAAAATGTCGAGCTTTGTAGACTACAGTTCGAAATGGATCTCCAGAGCACAGAAAGTTGGACTTTTCTGAGACTAGTTCTGCATTTCAGTAATTAAAAGAACCTCAAGTATCAAATGAAATACAATTAGGGAGATTATATTTGTATTGTATTGCACCAACTTCGTCGTAAAATCAAGTTCTTAATCTGAAATCTAATGAATGTTTATTCAAGAATATCTATATTTACGTCGAAAAAAGTTAACATCGGTTTTAACTGATTTATTATACGCTTTCTTCTTGCATCTGAACGAAAAAAATTTCATTGCGATGCTGCCATCGGTGCCAAACAAAAAATATCAGTCGTCACTGGTGTGTACCAGCGTTGTTCAAGTGCCAATATTCTTATTTTTTTCTTTGGTAGAAGTACTGTATACGTCACATGTCCTAATTTCGACACTAATCTTTTTAGATTTCTTATTTCGTGTTTTTCTCAGTTAGTTTCTAAGAGTGAGTAAAACTTTTGAGATTGCGATGTATGAGACAGAGCTCCGTATGGACTGGACTGGACTTTGAACTTTAAGTCCATACAGAGCACTAGTATGTGATAATCAGACCTATCGATCTATGTAAGAATATTTGAGTTGTCACTTATACTAACTCAGATACAATGGTTAGAATGAACAGGTATCTCAATTTTTTTCATATTCTCAATCCAAAACCTGAACCCGAAAATAAAGTTTTCAGAATCCAGATTCCAACAGAGAATGTCAAACCCGCAGGACTCTATCTTCAAGAGAACAACCGCTTGTATTTGAATAGGCGTAAAAACATGTTGTGTTCCGTGTTTGTTCTGAATTTCAATCGTAGAGTTCTAACCAAAAAATAAAAATTCGGTGCTTCTGTTGTGCATAAAATACTGTCTTTAATAAAAAGAGAAATGAAGCACAATGTTTCACACACACAAGATCTCGCTCATTTCGAACGATAAACCGAAAACTCGTGTTTTCATTTCAAAAATACGGTCAGCAGAATGAAATTACTACATTTGTTCAGTTTTCTAGTTTTATCTAACGCATATATTACTAATATAATTGAATATACACTAGGGTCACACTACAGCCTTAATCACGATTTAGCTAATCATGATTAGTTAATCGCGATTAATTCGTAGTGTGACCGCGACCTTAATCACACTTAACTGGCTAATCATGATTAACTTTATGCATGATTAAAATATGAATACAGTAATCATGATTAGTGTTAATCGCGATTAAATGTAGTGTGACCGCTATAATCATGATTAAATGTATGTATACTTATCTATTGGAAAACAAAATGGCGGAAATAGTATGAGATGGATACTGGTTTTAGCTAATAAACTGAGACTAGCAATTAATTATTTCTTTCTTCTTCTTTCTTCAGTTTATTCAAATTTTAATTTATTGAGAAACTAGTCGTGCCTACTTATCTGCTCATTGTCTTCTTTTCCATCACAAAGTTCTTTCGATTAAAAAAGGGGTTCCCCTTTCCAAGTGAATACTGACAGTTTCTCAAAGTGCAGTCTCACTGAATAAATACAGCCCTCAGTTGCGCTGCATCTCGTCTGTCTTAGGCGTATATCTTCATTTATAGCCACGAGCTTTTAAGTATTTTTGAAGAGTAGTCTTTTTGCTGTAAATACTTTTCTTTGTTTAATAACGTTTAGTAAAGTAACAATGTTCATCGTTCACTTGACTGACAGAAAAATGAGCCAATTTTAGAGCACTTTTCGTATTTATTTGCTGTTCTTAATCACGATCAGCCTTTAATCATGATTAGCGCGGTCACATTGTTTATTTAACCGTGATTAAAATAGTGTTAATCACGATTAAAAAAGGATGTGGTCACACTACAAAATCGTTAATCATGATTTATTTTAATCGTGATTAATGCAATAAAAATACCATATTACCATATACACAGAAGCGAGAGAACTCTCTCGAAAACGTTTTTGAGACAGCCAGTATACAAATTCTCCCATATTTTACCCGATTTTCTCTTCGGAAAAATGATGCAATAAAGGTGAATCATCAACATCACATTCACCTAGACACTGAACTCAAAAGACTGAAACCGCAGCAAAAAAAAAGTTAGAAATGTCTTCAGTCTCGTCCTAATTGAATCGGTAGATTCTCTATTTGAGAAACAAAAATGAAATGTAAGTTGGGAAGTGAATGCAAAACTTGCAACCGTTTTTGTGATTTAATTGCGGCTAATCGATTCCTATGAGATAAAGTCTGTTTAGTCGATACTTTTATATATCGTTATGTCCAAATTCCTTCTAATCTGAATGCACGCGATAGGAAAAGAACATGTGATACATGAAAAGGAAAGACAATCCATTTTCATTTCCACTGATCACGTGTGTATATAAAAGCGATAATTTTCGTATAGAATGTAAAACTGAATAAGTTGAATGATGGGGTGAATTCGCCTAATATAATAAGAACGGACTTGTTTTATCGACTTCTTTTGATTATTTTATAATGAATTTCTAAGAAAATTTTACGCTTTTTTACTTATGTGACTAGATAGAAGTGTACTGAATCTAATCTTAATAGGCACATTCACTCTCCCTATAGCGTAAGTATACAGCAGTGGAAAAGAGAGTTAAGAGATCTGAACCTGCTCTTCGAGTTTGCACTAGAGAGAAGGTGGAAATAAAAATGCTGTGTACTCATTTTAATAAGCTCAATCTCTACTTCAACGCGGAGTAAATTGTATCGTGTTTCCGAAGAGAAAACCGGGTAAAACATGTGTAATTAAATGAATATATCTGAATTTTTGTCACTCATTTTAAATGGGATATGCAAAGAAAAACAGTGTTGTCCACTTACAAGGTATTTCTTATTTTCTTTATGCAGACCATTTCTATACTAGAACTTCCTTTTTGAACTTTTTCAGGACAGGACCACCTTGAAAAAATCAGTAATTTGTAGTATGAGTGTATGATTAGTTAGTGAGTAAGAGAGTACGGAGAAAATTAATCCTTTCCGTCTTTCTTGTTAGAAAGTCGAAATGTTCTTTTCAGTATCATTCAGTAGTCAACGACTTCTAACATTCCGTCGGTATCCTTATAATTTCTTTTATGTCTTCAAAACAGATACGAAAATTTTGAGCTCTTTCAGGGTTTGAGTATTTTACGTCGGAAAAATATTCGAAACCCACTTGCTTCAATTCATTTTATTACTTATTAATATTTTTTACTGTTTGTATTAAAAACACACGCATATCTACACGATATAGGAAGAAAATTGTGATTATCACATAGTGGTATTTATATAATATATTTTTTTACCATTATCGTGTATATACGATAGACACGAGTGACTGAATACTATTGTCACTCTAACAGAGCTGGGCAACTCAGCTTAAAAAGGGAATTAATTCGATTCGATTCATTTGAAAAAATTTTCGATTCGATTCAATTCAATTCGATGATTTTTGAAAAAATTTTCGATTCGATTCAATTCAATTCGATGATTTTTCAAAAAAATATCCATTCAATTCAACTCAATTCATCTAGCCTGAGAATTGTTTTAGTACAGTTCGAAAAAACTTTTCAACTCAATTCAATTCATTGTGTTTCATTGTTATTCATCACATGAAAAAGAGTTTATTCCGTTCATCAGGTACAATAAACTAATAAAATATCTCGAATCAGATAACAAATACGAAATGAATAGACAATTAAGAAGAAATAAAAGAACCAATGATGTGGATGAAGTTTATAAAAAATAAAAATTATTATTCATAATTTAAAGAAGATCACGATTACATTTCAGCATTGTCAACTGTTGTAAAGTTGTTCTCGTCATCGACGCTCGATGTTGCCGAAATAAAAAGCCACTCTGACTAAAGACCCTCTCAACGGGTGCTGATGTTGCAGGAGTCGACAGGACTTTAAGAGCTAATTTTGATAATGATGGATAATTCTTTGAAGATTTTATAAGAAACATAGCACCCATATCATCTTCATTTAAATATTTACATATTTCATCTTTGATATAACCGAATGGATCAGATTTTGCTTTTTTAACATCCTTGTTGACCATATTTGTAAATAAACGTTTTCGTTTTGGAGTACCAGGACTTGATGGAGTACTAGTCATTAATGTTTGTGTTTGTCCTGGTGGAATCAACATGGAATTATCATTATTTGATATTACAGGCTGTTCATTAACATGATCAAGTACAAAACATTGTTCTAAGACAAGTTGTTGTATTTTGTTAGACAGTTCTTCTTGTACCTCTTCTGCTACAGTTGAAGTTGATATCCATTGTAAACGAAAACGACCATCTAAGAATGGTGCCAATAAAAAGATGGGATCTTTATAAAGATCATAAAATCGTTTATTCCTTTTGTTCTCTGGAATATCGACAACTATAAACATTTGTTCTAAAAGACCGCCAAAACGAGATAAAAGTGATTCTAATAAAGACTCACATAAATTTGAAGCATGTTTAACATTTGTCCGTTCGAATAAGAGATCATGATATAGTGTCCGTATTGAATGTCATAAAAGTTGGCAATGTTTATATTTAGTCTTTCAACCCGCAGAATGTGCTGTTTGATTCCAAGACCAACATAAATCCAAGAAGATCGTAGAGTTAGTTAGTCGAATATCTAAGAAAGGCTTTGCTTTCTTTTCATCAAGTTACAGCTTGGCTGACTTTAATGATGCTGGTAGTTACGAAAGTTGGTTAACTTGCACCTGGGCGAAAAGAAAAATGTCGAAAGGGATAAAGATCGAAAAAGGCTGTTGGAAAAATGTCGAAAGGTAACTATGTCGATGGATAAAAATGTCGAAAGTGAATACCCGAAAGGGAAAAGATCGATCATAAAGATGTCGAAATATAGAATGTCGACAGGCAAATACATCGAATATAGTTGTTTACAAAACGAACAAAGACCTAATTGGAAAATCGGCGCTGGTCAGCCCATGTAGCTAGGTGTCTAGTTTTGAATAAAACAAACCCGAACTCTCTACTTTCACAAGATCAACATCTGCTAAAAGTTTGGTCAAGATCGGACTTATAGTTTTAGAGATAGGTTTCGGACAGGGGGCCTTAATCGAGCTTCAAATTCTGCGTTATTTATATACAAAGAGTTTACAACGGTGAAGGAAAAGAAAATGTGAGTGCCTGAAAAAACAGCGTTGCTCTGGAGCTTTAAATTGCGGGTGCTTTATTAGTCGACAAGTCGATTATTCTTTGAAGGTTGTTTTTCACTCACACTCAGATTTGGAAACGTTCTCCTAATGTTATAATCTTGTTCTCATACTCTGTATACTGGACGTTTGTTTTCAAGACTTTAATCGATAAAAATCCAGGCTTCATCACACGTGCAGGTATCTACACTTTGACAGTCACTAGTAGAAACTGAAATTTTAAGAATTCCAATTTCTGATTCTACGAATTCCAGTTTCTGCTGCAACATATACATTTAGCAAGAAGAAAACCAATCACAGATTAATTTACAGATACCAGGATTCATAGTTATTTGATCTTCAGCAAAGTGGTAGGTTCTTCGAGAAGTGTTCTAAAAGCCTTCAAAAACTGAATCATAATAAAATTCGGTGCTCGCTCTGCGATGAACCAAATAAGATAAAAATTGGGTTTGGGCCAGTTGTAAAATTTCTCCGTGAATCCGACAGCGGGTGCCTTTTGATTTCGTTTTAACTTCTTCTTTGACAGCAACTAATCTACATGGTTTTTGCCTAAATTTCATTTTTCGCACTGGTTAGACGCAAATGAAGAGAATAAAATTTAGGCAAAAACCATGTAGATTAGTTGCCGTCAAAGAAGAAGTCAAAATGAAATTAAAAGCAACCCGTTGTCGGACATGTCTTAAAACATGCATCAGACACTCACAGATTGAGGCTAATATGTATAACTAAAAAGCTAATAGAGCCCGATTTTTGAATTTCTATCTATTTCTTCCGGCAGGTATCTTTCCTAGAGACGTTAAAAAGCGTTATAACCTTTTTCGTCTTCCAAGCCTCTCATCTAGCGGTAAAGTACAACAGCAGAAATAGAACTCTATTAACACTAGAATGCCCGGAAATTTTCATGACCTAGAGCGCACAAAGCGGTCATTTTGACTGTTACAGTTTTTTTAAATTTTATAACTTTTTGTTGCAAAATTTCTAGAAGAAATTTTTTGGAAATGCTGCAAGAAGTAATTTTTGTGGGAAAATTGAAAGTTATGACATAAATTTATTTTTAAATAAATTGTATGCAGTTTGTTTTACTACGGATAAAAATTCCAAAACGGTGAAAATGACCACTACGGGCGTTCAAGTGTTAACCTCTAGTCACATGTGCTTTCGACATTTTAAGACCTTCATGACTTCTCCACAACATTTGTTACTGAGAAACCTTGCAGCCACGAAAAATCCAGTTTTGATCCCTAATTGAGCAACATCTCCGAAGTGTTGATAGATGGCATCTTCAAAACTTTGTCGGAAGTCTGCAATCATATGCGCCTTACATTAGTCGCACCGATTTTTTCCATAATACCGTCACCAGCTGTCTTCACAGATAAGCACGTTCAGATCAGAACAGTTTAGACCTTATTATTTAGATAAGATGTAGGAAACAAATAAATAAAAGCGAAAAAACGAATTATTTTGTGTATTTTTCTGTCACTTCAAACATCAAAGACCGGGCTAAACATTCTACATCATAATATTGCCGGCTTCCTTAGTACATATAAACAAAGTCGCTTGTTCATCAAATCTTAAGTAAGCAGCTATCTCAATTATAGTTTAGTTCGTTTTTTAAGAAAAAGTCAAAATATGGAGGTTTCACAAAATTTTCGTGTTGAAGGCGAGGTTCGCTAGGAGATCTTTAACAAAGACCGTACTCCATCATAAGAAATCAATTTTTTCGTAGTATAGGATGGAAGATATTTGTTCTTTCAAACTTGAGGCAAATCATATTTTGTTGATATGCCTTTCTATCATATGTAAATAAGAATCCATTTGAAAATAATATGTTCTTTCTTATGTCATTTGTTTCGTCGTCAAGTTTGAACGTACATTTGTTGATAACTGGAGGATTATTTTCAAAGAAAACTCAAAAACAACCCAGCCCGTTTCTGACATCGACTTGGAATTAACGAACTCTCCACATTTAAAAACCTCTAGACTTTGACATTTAGCTTAACAGCATTAAGGGTCCAATGAAGGTCAAATTTTTACCACTTCAGACCCTATCTTCGAATGAAAATTTTTTTTCCGAAAAATATGCGTTCCTTCTCGAGATATACAAAAAATGCTGAAAATGACCCGCAAAAAGTCAGATTTTATCAGTCTTTCACTGACTTTCAGCATTTTTCGTATATCTCGAAAAGGAACGCATATTTTTCGGAAAAAGAAATTCTCATCCGGGCATAGGGTACGAAGTGGTAAAAATAGTAAAAAATTTGAGTTTTATTGGACCATTACCCTTAAGTCTGCATTGATATATCTTTTTGTGTAAGAAGTCTTGTGATTTTTTAACACTAACCTGTATATTATCTCCAAAATAAATAATAATCGGTTCACGTTATTCTGATTTTCTACTATTCAAAAAACCAAACATGCGTTAGAAGTAGACAAGGATGGTCTTTATCCTGACGTTATAGTGCATCTGCTACTACGTCGCCCAAAAACGGCTGTTAAGTGGCGGCATCGGCGAATATCTCATCAACCGCTATAAGTAATTGGGCTTTTCTAACAAAATCTTTCCCTTTTCATCATGAATCTCAACATTTTATCTAATGAATTTGAGTACTACCCAAATTTGTTAACTTTTTAACCCTTTGGTTACGGGTGACCTATATATAGGCATTGAACTTTTGTAGGTATTGTCTTCAATATAATGTCATTTAGACTTTATTAAAAGAACTACTATACCTTTCTCTTATTTTAACAAAAGAATTGGGTCACTATTGCGTATTACCTTCTACATATATTCTCTCGCATACCGACTTTTGACATTCTATCTACTTTGTGTGATAGGTTGTTTTGGAGATTATCATACTTTAAAACACTTTTGAGCACTTTCCTATACTACTGAAACTCATTATAAACTATTTCAGTACGAAAAATAAAAGATGCATCTGCAAGAAAAACCCCGTAACCAAAGGGTTAAAGTGGGAAAAACATCAAAGCAAAGAAAAATGAAACATAAAAAGATAATGGAAAAAAAGCGACATCGTTGGTGTCTACGGTTGGATATAGTGTAATATACTGTGAAAACTTACAGTTCGGTCCAAAAAGTGTCGGGACTCCGACGAGATCTTTGCGCCGTACAACGTAACTCGTCGCGCTGATTTCGAATATGTAAAAATCTCGAGGGTCACTTCTCTAGAAAAAACCCATCGAATTTTGACATGTTATCATAAAGCGGTTATTTACGGTTGCGGTTAACCGTAAGCGTTGCATGCCTACTCATAGATGTAGTTTTCCCATTCCGACCGAGGGACAGGTTTTTGCAATCCTGAAATCCTGGAATTCTAGAATCCTCGAATCCTGGAATCCTCGAATAGTAAGGGAGGGTGGATAGTGAGTGTAAGTAAAACAACAATATTTACCTTTTTAAGCATGAACTTCTATGGTAATGGTTCGAAGATCCTGGGGTCCCAGAATCCTATTGACGGTTGAAATTCGAAAACTACACTTCTCATCTGGGGTTAGAGGTCTGCGGGACCAAACGTTTTTGGTGCCGGTCCCGTCCCGGTCCCATGAAGAGAAAAAGTCTTGATCCCGGTCCCGTGGAAAGAACTTATTTTTGGTCCCGGTCCCGTGGAAAGAACTCATTTTTGGTCCCGGTCCCGTGGTCCCGTAAATATTTTTTCAAAGTAGCGCCCGTAGTTTGAAAGTCAGCGCGTTGTAAATTACAAAGATTTATGTAATACTAATGCAGACACAAGTCAGAAACATTAACAAAAAAACAAAAATATGAAGAGCAGAATGATGATAATAACAAGCAAAAAGCTAATGATAATGATAACGATGAAATGGCAACAACTGCAACACTTGATGATGACTTTTTTTGATAGATAAAAATGAATAGTATTCAACTATGAACTTTCAACAGTAGACATTTTTCCTGTTCTATTGTTTAAGCTAGAAGAAACTTATAGCTTTAGCTGTGTTTACAAAAATTTGAACTTTGAACAAACTGTGTCAGCGCGACACTAATTCAAGCTAATCTGGAAAATAGCACTATGGGATGAGATTATTAACTGAGGACTTTTCGAATTATGTGTGAATTTTTCCTCGCAGAACTACTGCCTACATACAAACAGGCACAGAAACTAAGAAATTTTTATACTTCATACAAGACTATTTTCAAAAAAACCTGGTCCCGGTCCTATTAAAAGTTCTACGGGACTGGAACAATCCTGCAGGACTGGGACCGTCCAGCAGACCTCTAGGTCCCGGTCCCGGCCCCGTAAAAAAGATTTTTCTGAGTTCCGATCCGGTAAAAAGTACCGGGATGGGACTGGGATTGTCATGCAGATCTCTCTCCGGGGTGGGAAAATAAGCTTTTAAATTGTGCTTTTCAACAATCTATTCCTCGGTCGGAATGGGAAAACTATAGCCCTCTGCCTACTTTCTGCATCCAATATCGGTATTGAGAATAGCCCATAGCTACGATAACGAGCAGCACGGAAAGTCACACATATCATAAAGTATACGCCCTGGGATCTCTACATTGACAATGAACATTCAAATATTGCGGAGCATTTCCTGAGATGATATTTCGCAGAAGAATCAATTTATGTATATCATACAGTTAGATAAATCCGTCTAACCTTAAATATCTCGAACTTTTTCTTTACTTGACAAATATAATGCACCCGAAACAAGAAAAGCGAAATAAAGCGAGAAAAATAACTTATCTAGTGGAGACAAGTACTGTGAACAACTTTTCATGAACAGAACCCTACACGGGCAAATAATTTGTAGGACCGTAGACGTAGAAACACAGAACAAAATGCTTAAATGGTTAAAAATTTTGATAAAATTCAACACCTACTAGTACCAGTTGATTAGTAAACTCAACCACGCTGACCACGATAAAAAGATAAAAGCCTTAAAACAAAGAAATTTTTTTATTATGTCATAAATAAAAGTTCTTTTACGGTTTTATGTAAAAATAATTTCAAAGTAAATAGTAAATTATATTATTCTCAAGTATCGATATACCTAAGTTGCTATATGTTATGTATTGATCCCGAAACGGTATACATTATCTTCATGATCTCTTTTTCGTAACATAATGAATATCACAGTTAAATTCTTTAAAAGAGCTCAGCAGTCAGTCGCCAAGCCATCAACCAAAGGTCATCAGTCAAAGGGGCCAGAAAACGAAGAAAATTAATTCGATGAAACTTATATATTTATTTATATTTATATTTCGATAAAAACTGTCCAATTTGGTGTACCATCAAAATTAGCTGTACCTTTCAATTTTTTTCGTTTCAAGTCCTTCTCGTTCTGAAGTTATAAACAGTTTTCTGAAAAATACACTGTGGACAGTGCTTATTGCACAATACACTACGTCATGTGCTTATTCTTTATTTCTTTACATGTCTGATAATAAGGCTGTTACAGTAGAGGCTTCCGTCTGCATCCAATATCATACAGATCATGCGGTATTGGGAACGACCTACGACCACCGTAACGAGCAGCACGAAAAATGACGGCATAAAAACTGGCAACAATCGGAAAATTTCCTGCTTGGGCAGGAAACATCTGGCCTACCCAGGTCCACCGAGTTTTTCTGACTATATGGAGCATGGTCAGCCTAAAAATCCTGGTTACGCCATTGTATCGCAATGTATTCATTATACACCATTGGAAAGAGCATTCAAAATTGAACAAAATAGTATTTTTGACGTTCGAATATCATCGGTTTTTCACATCTATTTTTTCAATACAAAGTTTTGGACGACTCATTTTTCTTTTTCAATTATTTCGACGGGAAAAACATGTCTATAATTCTCAACGTACCCACCAGTTAGAGCATGACATTCTCTACCAATTCGTGTATTTGTTTTTCATTTTAGCGCAAGTCTCTTGATCCAGAAATGCGAAATACTAGAAAGTACTTTATTTTGTAGCCGGGCTCTCGCACTATCTATATCACCATTAGAATCAGGTTCGCACCACTTGATGCGAAAGAAAAGTTCAGAAAACAAATTTGTATAAACTTTTGTGCAGATTGTACTCATCACTTTTATCGACAACTGATAGATCAATATAATGTATGTGATCAACAAGTTTAACTTGGTCGATGCGAATATTATTCGTAATAAAAAAAAAACATGAACCTCTTTTGAGATGTTGAAAGCGAAAGCAGTTAAGTCGCCTCGGCCGGCATTGTCGTTGGATGGACAGACCTTCTCTTAATATATGAATTTTTATGTTGTTGACCCGCGATCTTGAGGTCTTCACCAATAGTTTTGCACAAAACATTTTTCAGATATTTTGAAATGAATCGAGGGAGTTTTTGGTCGGCTTTCTGAAAATTAGCTCAGAATTTTTGGATCGTGTAGTCTTTTTTTTTTAAGCTATTTCTTTTATGTATGCCGGATTCTAGATGAACATGCTGACAAAATGAGTATATAGAGAAGAGAGATTATACTAGTGTTGGTGAAGAGAGAGAGAGAGAATTAGGAATCGAATTCTGAGATCCGCTCTATCCATGTGACGTCCTGCTCATGAAGATGTAGTACATCATGACTGATTAAATTTTCCGGTAGTATCAATAAATTGGAGGATGGCTGTATACAATCCTATCAGGTTCCGCTTAGCCAGTGCTCGGATAGATTCATGTTTCAAAAGCATGTGCTCCAACGTAATCTGATTATCATTGAGAACAATACGCAGCTGCTCAAACATAAAATTACGAGACTAATCGTGAAGAGCATAGTGCATGAAAAAATGTTTAGTAGTCTCTCTATTAAAGCCACATGCACATGCTGGTGACTTTTCTAATCCACCTCTAGTAAAGAGATAGCCATTTAGTTGGGGGTTATCAACTCTACATCGCGTACGATGTATCTCCAACTGCCGATCCCGCATTAACGGTAAACGGAAGCACGAAATATATTGCAAGACTAATCTGAGTTTAAAATCAGTCAGTTTATGTATTGAACGTATATCATTGGGTAGAAGATTTCATGCACGAATACCATCCCGAATAAAGGATTTCTCCAATGATGCTCGACCTTTTAAGTTAAAGGAGATGCCTCCCCGACTGAAACTTCGAATTTGATAAACCTGGGGTCCTGGCATAGGAAAAAGTTCAATAAGATAAGTAGCAGTTTTACTGTGCATGATTTCATGAAACAAACACATGCGTCGAAAGCTCATTGATTGATATCGTGTAGTCTTGGTAGACTCTTGGTCAGAGTACTTGAAATGTGATCTTGCAGTAAACTGTAGATTTTACCCAAGTGAAGCTATACGCATTTTCTCAAGAAGTGCATTCTACGCGAAAGAACTCCTGATCAAAAAATTGATTTCTCAAAAATGAGAGTGTAGGAAAAAATCCAGGTTTCTCAGCGAAAGACAAAAAGAAATCAAAATAGTATGTTTTGTAGGGTAGCTTTTGTTCTACAAGCTGATATGTTAACACAGTTTCCAATTTTTAGTTTCAGATTTTAATTATGAAAATACGAAAATGTACAAAAAAACTTTTTCCCACCAAACCAAATTTTTTATGCCTTTTGAAGATTCCGTCGCTGCTTTCGAACAGTCATAGATAAACAACTTCTAAGCCTAAATGCGGAAAGAGCTTAAAAATCTGGTTCTAACCTATATTTTTTCATTTCTCTGAAGTACTTTTAAGCGAGTCAAAAATGAACTAAGATTTGTCCAGAAACTTTCGCATCTCTTCTGGCTGCGCGTAGTCCAGTTAGGACGGTTGGACAGAAGTTGGCCTGTGATCAAATGTTAAAGAAGAAGTTTCAGACCCAGAAAGAACTTTATGTTACACCCATGTTCACTATTCTCTCTGATATGCCCAGTTACAAGAAAGTATTCGGTGAGACATCACTCGTCCAAAAGCTTTCCAATGAATGTTCGAGAAGAAAATGAGTGACGTTGCCATTCCTAAGACGAAAATATAATCATCGATGTCATTTGAATGTTTCGAAATTGTGGTGCTTGTGCTTTTGTTGTCGCGTTCGATCGAAGATAATCTCTTATCTGTCTATGCAGGATATCTTAGGTCAGGATTAGAGGTTTTCTTGAAAAGATTCGGTCTATGCTAGAGCCAGCACTTCTTCTTGATGAAGGCAAGGAGAAAACGCACTGTACAAGATGCCCACTGAAATACTGAGAACGCAATTATTTCTGCGCCACCCGTTAGTCATTCTTTCAAGTATTGAATTTTTTATTTTGGTTATTTTATCAAGGAGATAAGATCGATCTTTTTACAATAGTTCTCATGTTTTTGTTTTCATTGGATTGGCATTTATTTTAAACAGTTAGACTGGTTTGGCGGATGTTTAATAATTGGAAATAAAACGAACTTAAAAAACAGAAAGTTTTCGTAAAGTAGTCGAGCTAATCAAAGTATTTGATTGTAGGCCATTGAATGAATTTTAGGAAACTGTACAACATCTCGAGCGGCATGCACACGAATGGCCAAGACAACCGCATGTATTCAATGGATAGTCGTTTTCATAGACTTCAGGAGCGTTTTTAATGTCGCGGCCATAGAGCAGAAAAGTGAATGTTGTCGGACCTAAACGGAAAACATATTGTTTATATTACGTATGGATGTCAAAAAGGTTGGCATTGCTATGAACGGATTTACCTACCTTTATAGCCGTTAGTTTTGTTGACATAATCTCCTGCTTGATAATCTATCTCGAGTATGTCTACACGTTGAATTGAACATTTTACTCGGCGTATTTGTGTTGACTTATTCGTCTTGTTTACATGATTGTCTTTGAATTGTTTTTCAATGACGTTGGTAAAATCATGAGGACTTTCTTCCGTAATCATGCGATCGAGACCCTCAAAGTTTGACCACAAAGATTCATTTTGACATAGAACATCGTCCTCGAAAAAATGAGTTTTTCCATTACTATTTGTAATGCGTTCATCTGGTAAAAATGTATTTTTTGGATAGGTCACTGAGTGCACGGTATATCGTTTGCAATGCATTTCATTTCGTTGCAGGATTTTGCCGCTTGTCAAACATTTCGAACAATTCAGATATCCTCTACCGGTACACTTAGAACAAGATTTGTACTTTATTTGCCCAGCACCATGACAAGTCGGGCAGGATTTTCTTCCTTTGATTTTATTTGATTATTGCGAGATCGGAGTGGACCTACCATGTCAGATTCTTTCGTTGATAACTATCTCATTGAACTTTACTTACACGATGACATTTGTGGATGCAGATTACTACATAATTCGTAAATCGAACGTTGACCATTGCATGCAGCACAAGAAATTTTCTTTTGTGTTTCAGGTAATATGATTTGTCCGATTTGGTTTCTTTGTATGATAGTTGTATCAGCCTTTAAATTATATGTTTCCTTGTCGAATATGTCTTCAACAATCTCTCCCGGTGTATCTTCACCATTGTACGGGCTACTGATTGTTTTTATCCACCGTTTCTCCATCAACGTCCATATATCAATTTGAAACGCTACGCGTGAATCTGATTTGATTATTTTTCCTTCGGAAGCGGCATCTGAATGATAGCAAAATTTTTTGTTAACATATCTTCTCAGAAGCGTTAGATAAGAGTTTGCAGTATCACTGTCAACAATAGTAGGTACTTCGAATGCCTTGCTTGGATGAAATCCTGTACCAATCATCCCAGCAGGGCTCACTTGATTTGTTTGGACCATTTATACGATCTTCTTTGGTGTTCTATCTAAATTAGAATAGACACATTTTTATATCTAAATATGCTTTTTTCAAAACAACTAACAATCAACAGAGTTGTGCCAGTCCATTGTTCAACTCGATTTAATTAGCGAACAAAATTAAAAGTTATACTTTACCGTTATAATCAATGGTTAATCGGTTACATAGAACATTCAACCCATTAATATTAAATTGACGCAAATGAAGAGCATAGATTCTTAGATCGAAAATACCCTTCAAAGGTCTTACATAAATTTCTGAATAGTTTACCGATTTGTACTGGGACTGTCCTAGTACAAATAATGAGTTCACGGTATTTGTGTATTGAGACGACTTACTACAAGATACCTGCAGAAGTACGTTGCTACCAGTACGCCACAGATACTTGATTGAATACTCTACGGAAAATAATTCGAGCATTTGAGTATTTCAATGTAGTTGCTTGGGCACTAATATCCGTTTCAAAATAAGCGTGCTCCACTATTTTCTAAATAACTCAAGAACTCAGCCAGTTAGAGATCTGCGGTATCACCTTTCAAAAGAGGACATTGGACGTATAAACTTATCTCACTTTTTAAATAAATTTAGCACTTAACCACTTAGGTAAGCTCTTGGGAGACATTTTGAAGACGATATTTTGCTGAGGTTTTTCCATTTACTATTAACTTGAAATGAAACTATTCGACGGGAAAAACTGTCCTCTTTTGATCTATGCCAAGCCGATTTCTCTAACTCTTCCTGTTGAAGAGTGATGCGTATTTTGTGAGGCCTTCTTTTCTTACAAACATACATGTAATACATAGCACGAGAGTGATTAGAACAGGGAATGTGCCTCATTTAATTTGGGAACACGACAAAATGGGCATTAATAAAATACGCGAGCACCTTGAAGGAAAAAAGATTCAGATTTAATCATAGTAGTACGTACAGCTACATAATTTATGCTCTAGAGCACGTACGAACACCGCTTTTAAATTAATATTTCCGAAAACTGTAATAGTTACCTGGTGAAATGAATGCATGAATCTGCGAACATCGATTAGTGAGTAGAGACCGTTTCCATGATGCTAAAAACGTAATTTATTCTTGCCCCAAACGACTTTCAAAAAATTGATTTTTGCTAAGTGATCGTAGGTAACAGGCTTAATCGTATACGGAAATCTGGGAAAAACCGATTTTTAAAAGATCATTTTGGGCAAAAGTAAATTACGTATTCACCATTATGGGGATGATCTCTCTTCAGTAACCGATATTTGTAGATTCGCGCATAGATTTCACAAGCTTTTACACCTTGCGACCAGGAATAATTCAAAAGCGGAGTTCGTACGTGCTCGTGAGCGTAAATCATGCAGCTTCATGTGCTCTTTTAAGCTTTTCTTAGTCTTATGGAGACCTATCTAATGGCCATAATATGGAGTCGAATGGCGTCCGAGAGTTGGTAATGTTCTTTCGTCAGTCTTCTCTATACGCGTGAGAAACGGCTCAATAGTTGTATATGTGATATTCATGACATCTAGAAACAAATATTCTTCAACATAACAACGGTCGATATCATAGTTATTGTAAACAATCGAAATGGTCGAGAGGCAAAGTCTGAACTTGCTTGCAAGGCTTCTCATCAATCATTTCTTGTTATCAAAGATAATAATGGTAAGTGCTGCAATCTCTTCGTCTTTAGAATTCTTTTTATAATGGTGTTATTAATGTATTCAATAGAGTCGGCACGCGCTGTGCCGCCTCCTGTTCCTCCTCCATCTGCATTGTATGTATGATACTCTGTTCAATCATCATGATATATGTAAATCTCATACAATACTTCACTTTCCTTATCCAGTGACGAACTTATTCTGTATTATTCCCAACTTTGTCATCTATTACTCTCTGCTTGTATTCTACTACCGTGTAATAGAAATTGTTTTTGACTGTATTGTGAAAAATAGACGTTGCTCTTTCATCTAGCTTCTCTCAGAACGTAAGGCAGAAGCAAATTTGTTTTCGCATTAAATCCAAGATAGATTACGGGATTCGGAACGCATGAGACGGAAAACACGAATAGCACGATTTTCACTTGTTTGATTTCGAATCTAAATGAAAACGTCGACTACATTCATGGCGAATCTTGTGGCAATGTTTGTTCGCCCCTTCCATTAATGCGAGTTCGTCAGAAAACATATGTGATGTGTTTGTCGCACCGTTAAAAAGAAATTGGTCATGCTCAAAAACCGACAGTCTTCCAATATCTACTTGAAATCCAAGTTTGACTTTTCACATTTATTATGTTCAGAAAGACATTTTATGAGCCTCTTCCGGAAGTTGCAGTTCACTCGGTTAAGAACTGTCTGAGCTGTAGCTAACTCATTAGAAAAGAAAATTAATCAATAAACATCGTTATGCATCTGCTGACCTTCGATTAAATAAAAAAGCAAGAACAATTGCTGCAAGGTTCAGCATCTTGACGTGATTACGAAAGTATAGATATGTTCTAAATAGTTCGATGCGGAAAAGAGTTGCAACGCTCGGAATTCATCATTTCTCACGCAAAACATTTCCTCGTGGTGTCGGAAAGAAACCCTGGAACTTCTTTGTCTAGGCACCACATGAGTTTTGACGTACCGAAGTCGTGTTGGATTTTTCAATCATGTAATTGAATGATTGAATAAACCAACGGTCTTTCGGTCAAAATACCCAAACCCGAGATCCTCCATGTGGCGTTTTCTAAGCCGATCTATCTCTTTATTTCTTCAAGAGCCTCCTATTAGACATTCAGACCATCAGCAATCAAAATGATCTAACGTTCTTCTCCCTCCCAAAAACTGAATATTCACTCACTAGGGTTACTTTTTTTGTGATATATTGACAGTAAAGTAGATATGAGGGGTGTCGGTCCGCCTGTTGCATAGTTGAAACGGCAATATACAGTGTAGAAACAGTTGCCCTTGTTGTATGAGTAGATATATACAGATAAGAAACAAGTTAGAAACGTTTTACAGCTCTTCTCATAGGCCCGTTTATGTGTGCCGAACGGTAAGAAAAGATCTGTTATCAAATGTAAATATTGGTATGTATGTAGCTATGTGGAGTGATAAAATAGCTGAACAACGTTGACAGCAAAACTGAAAAATGAAAGAAGCCCTCGTACATGGCCATTAAAACGCAGATCTCTAGCAATCCAATTTGTACTTGGTAAGCTATCTTTTGCCAAAAGCGGTTTTCATTTCATTTTTCCACTGTCGAAAAGTGTGAGAAAGAGAGGACTTTGTCATGAACGTAGAATTTTCCTTATGATCTAACGAGAAGTGAGAAAGTTTTGATGAATACAAGTTAAGCAGCATAGATTTCATTAGAAGCGAACTCAAGTTACTGTCTATCTGCTGTTCACCAACAATGGAACGGATCAGAGACCATTTTTCTGACCTGTTGATACGGAGCTTTTCTTTTGGCGTTACTATGATGTCTTGAACACTTCTGGACGATGTCTTATTGTAATTCATGATAGAATGGTGGCAAAATATGTTTTCGTAAGGAATGCGAGAAATTATGTTCGTGTTATATTTTTCAATTACTCAGTTTTTTGTGCTTTTTTGCAATTAGCTTCAACTATCACTGTATTGAACAGACTTGTCATATGGTCTGAATTCAGCTATTAAGAGCATGATTCTACCAGTAAAGGTGTAAAAAAAGAAGGAGGGAGAGATCATTAGTCTTCTGCCTTTGAAACTGTTGATAGAAGATATACGCCCAACAATCGATTTATCGACTATTGGATTAAGGTTTCTCCGAAAACTCTCCTTAGGTGCTATTTTGTCGTACTTCTGAAAAATTTTCGCTTTAATGCTTTCAGATGACTTTGTAAGTTGACCTAAGGGGAATGGTCAACCTACAAAGTCATCTGAAAGCATTTAGAAGCTTCAACTCAAACTAGAGTCATCATCAGCCACATATTCGCTAAGACCAACGACGTATATGTTGTAGGCCAACATAGAATTCAAGCAAATTCCGAATTTGCCTAAGCAAAATTAGAATTTAGACAAAATTGGAATTAAAATGGGAAAATCAGAGATCACAACTGATAAAGTCATAAAATTAATTATATGTGCTAAAGTCATGCTCTTAGTTTCTCCTGCTAGGTAATAAGTCATACTCACCCACTGATGTATTAGATGTATTAGAAGGAGCTTGAATTAAAGAATAATCACAATCTCGAGAAGGAGTGATTAGTTGAGAAGCTTGAACATCGTGTGTGACCATGAAAGAAACAATTGTTTTAATTCAATTGTAACTCTTGCAACAAACTCCTTTCCATTATCACTATGAAGCAACCGTTGTGGACCAAAAGCAACTGTGAACTTTATAATTGAACTCCCTCTTCTCTAAATGTGAGAGAAGATAAAGAGAAGACAGTTAA